GGCAGGCCTCTTTTTGCACCTTTTTTTAAATTTTTGAGACAGGGCCTTGCTATGTAGCCCAGGCTGGCCTCCAACTCTCAGAGTTCTTCCTGCCTCAGCCTACCAAGTGATGGGATTACGAGCCTGTGTACCATAACCATGTTGTGGCTTCTTGGGTACAAATAGTTTTCCTTTTACCATTTTGGAACTCTCCTGAGTCATTCCCACAGCTCTGGCCTGAACACCAGACCCAGCGGTCCTCCAAGGGAACCAACTCAATGACCCTCATTCATTGCCAGCCGAATGCCCAAGCTTGTACAATTTGGGGCAAGGGCCAGGGGTTGAGCCCGGGGGCTTCCCACCGAACTGCAGCCCCAGCCCTTCTTTATTTTTTTATCCTGAGATGAGGTCTGGCTAAGTCCCTAAATTGCCTGGGCTGGACTAGAACTTGTGATCCTCCTGCTTTTTTATGTATTTAGTACAGGGTTTATAGGGTCTCACTTCCCAGATCAGGGCTGGCACGGTGGGCCGGAATCAAACCCCTGGCCCCGAGTCTGCTTAAGCAGGTGCTTTAACCCTCTGAGCTACCTGGCCGGCCCTAGCAATCCTGCTTGAAATGCTCCTGTACATCGATCTCTGTTCACCTAGATGGCAACTCCATGGAGTACATTCATAAGCATGGGATTTCTCATCAGAGTACATAATTTAAAATTTTGACGAACGCCGCCAAATTTCCAGTCTTCCAAAACGTGTGAATATCAGTGGCAGACACAAATGGCTTTTTCTTCACATTAGTAGTAGCTATCTTCAAATTTTCTTCCTTCCTTCCTTCCTTCATTTATGCTCTGAAGATTGAACCTAGGGTTCCGTTCATGTTAAGCAAGTACTGTACCGCTGAACTCCAGCTTCAGCTCTTTTTTTTTTTTTTTTTTTTGCGGAACCAGGGATTGAACTCAGGCCCTTGCGCTGGCCAGGGAAGCGCTTATTCCATCTCCCCGGCCTCCTTCACTTTAATTTTGAGACAACTTGCTCTAAGTCGCCCAGGCTGGTTTCACTCTTCGGGGCTCAAGTGATCCAAAGAACCTGCTCCAGCACCCCTGCCGTAGGTTTGCCACCGCTGTCCAGGTTTATCCTAGGGCCACTCTTGCAGGGAATCAAGCCAACACACAGTATAGGATAACAGTTAACATGCAAACTGAAAACACTCTGACGAATCTGGATTTTATCTTGATAGCAACAAGGAGCCTTTAAACATCTTTTTCTATCTTCAATGCTGGAGTGGAACGCAAAGTCTTAGCAGCCTTAAGCTTTTTATTAGAGTTTTTTTTAATTATCCAAGTGAGGTGGCACACAGCTGTAATCCCAGCACTTGGGAGGCTGCGGCAAGAGGCCCAAAATTAGCTTGGGCTGTACTGAATGCAAGGTCAGCCTGGATTACATAGCGAGGCCCTGTCTCCAAAGAAAAACTAGATTCACAGGCAGTTCCAGTGGCACATGCTTGTAATTATAGCACTCAGAGAAGCTGAGGCAGGAAGACTGCAAATGTGAGTCCTGCACGGACAATTTAGGGAGACCCCGTCTCAGAATAAAAAATAAAAATGGGCTGGGAATTCCTCAATGGAAGAATGCCCCTGAGTTAACCACCCTCAAACAAAATTCATATGATTAGATTAGCCTGGAGAGGTAGTCTCTTTTTTTTTTTAATTTTAGCGGAAGGTCTACAGGGTGTTCAGGGTCTCACTACTAGATTGGACTCATAGTGATTCTCCTGTTTACAGCCTCCCAAGTGCTGGATTACAGGTGTGCATGCCACCATGCCCAGTCTCAATTGCAGTCTCAGGTGCCCTGGGGG